TTTTTTGTTTTTTGGTTTTTTTTTTTTTTTTTTGGTGGTTTGTGTTTTTGTTTTCTTTTGGGGTTTTTGTGCTTTTTTTGGTTTTTTTATGTTGTGTGTTTTTGTTCTTGGGGGGTTTTTTTTTTTTTTTTTTTGGTGGTTTTTTTTGTTTTTTGTTGTTTGTTGTTTTTTTTTTTTTGTTTTTTGTTTTGTTTGTGTGTGTTTTGTGTGGTGTTGGGGTTTGGTTTTTTGTATGTGTGTTTGTGTGTGTTGTGTGTGTGGTTTTTTGGGGTTGTGTGTGCGGGTGTGTTGGTTTTTGGTTTGTGTTGTCTGTGTTTTTTTTTTATGTGTTTGTTTGTGGGGTGTTTTGTTTTGGGTGTATTTTTGTATTGTTGTTTTTGGTTTTTTGTTTTTTGTTTGTGTTGTTGTGTGGTGGGTGTTTTCTGTGGTTTGGTGTGTGTGGGTGTTTTGTGTTTTTGGTGTGTCGTGTGTGTTTTTTGTGTGTGGGGGTTCTGTGTTTTTTGTGTGTTGTTTTTATTTTTGTTTGTCTGGGGTTGTTTCTTGTTTTTGGTGGTGTTTGGGTGTGTTTGTTTGTTTTTCTGGTTTGTTTTTGTGTGTTGTGGTGTGTTTTTTTGTTGTGTTTTTTTGTATTTGTGTTTTCCCTGTGTTTGTGTTGTTGGTGTTTTGGGTTTTGTTGTGTTGTTTTTTTGTGTTGTGGTTTGGTATGTGTGTGTGTTTTTGGGTTGTGTTCTTGGTTGTGTGTTTTTTGTTGGTTTTTTTTGTCTTGTGTTTTGTGTGTTGGGGGGTGTGTGTATTGTGTGTTTGTGTTTGTTGTTGTGTGTGTGTTTTTGTTTGTCTGTTTGTTTTTTTTTTTTTGATTTTTGTTGTGTGTGTTTTTTTTTTTTGTTTTTTTTTTTTTTGTGTTTTTGTTTTTTTGTGTTTTTTTTTTTTTTTTTGTTTTTTTTTTTGTTTTTTTTTTTTTTTTTTTTTTGTTGTTGTTTTCGGGTTTTTTCCTGTTGTTTTTTGTGTTTTTGGGGTGTGTGTCTGTGTGGTTGTGGGGTGGTCTTTGTGTGTGTGTGTTGTTTGTGTGTTGTTGGTTTTTGTTGTGTGCCCTGTTGGTGTTTTTGTTTGCCCTGGTGGGGTGTGTGTGTTTTTTTTGTCTTGTGTTCTTCTTTTGTTGTGTGTGTGTGTGTTTTTGTTTTCTTTTTTTTTCTTTTGTGTTTTTTTTTTTTTTTTTTTTTGTTTTGTTTGTTTTTTGTGTTTGTTTGTTTTTTTTGTCTGTGTGTGTTTTCTGTGATGTTGTGTGTGTGTGGGGTGTTTTTGTTGTTTTTGGGTAGGTTGTGTGGTGTTTTGTGGGTCTGTGTGGTGTGTTTGTGTGTTTGTGGTCTTTTGTTTTTGTGTGTGTCTGTTTTGTTGGTGTGGTGTGTTTTGTGTGGGGGTCTTTGATTTGGTGGTGTGTGTCCGGGTGTTGGGGGTGTGTGTGTGTGTGTGTGTGTGTTGTGTGTGTTTGTCCTTTGTTTTGTGTTTGTGTTTTGTGTGTGTGTTGTATTGTTTGTGGTTTTGTGTTTATTGTGTGTGTGGTGTGCCCTTTTTGTGTGGTGTGGGGGTTTTGTTTGTTTTATTTTTTTTTGGGTGTGTGTTTTGTGTTTGTCTGTGTGTGTTGTTTGTGTGTCTTTTGTTTGTTTTTTATGGGTTTTTGTTGTTTTTGGTGGGGTGTCGTGTGTTTTTGGGTTTTTTTGTTTTTTTTTGGGCCTGGTTTTTTCCCTGTGTTTTTTGCCCCCGTTTCCCCCGCCTTCTTCTTTTCCCCCCTTTTACCCCCCTCTTTTCTCTTTTTCCCCCCCTTTCCCCCCTCTCCCTTCGGGGCCCCGTTTTCCGCCCGCTCCCCCCCGTTTCCCTTCCTTTTTTCCCCCCCCCCTTTCCCCCCCCCCCTCCCCCCCCCCCTTAACTTCTCTCCCTCTCCCCCCTCTGTCTCTCCCCCTTCCTCTCCCCCCCTCCTCCCCCCCCCTCTCTCTCTCTCCCCCTCTCTCCCCCCCCCCTCTCCCCCCCCCCTTTTCCCCCCCTCCTCTCCCCCCTCTCCCGCCCTCTCCCCCCCCTCAAACCCTCTCCTCTCCCCCCTCTCTCCTCCCCCCTCTCCGTCTCTCTCCCCCCCCCCTCAAAACCTTCCCCCCCTCTCGTCCTCCCCCCCCCCTCTCGCTCTCTCCCCCCTCTCGTCTCCCCTCCCCCCCCCCCCCCTCCCTTCTCTCTCCCCCCTCTCCTCTCCCCCCCCTTTCCCCGTCTCTCTCCCCCCCTCTCCTCCCCTCCCCCCTCTGTCCTTCCCCCTCTCCCCCCCCCCCTTACCTCCCCCCCTCTTCCCCCCCCCCTCTCTTCTCTTTTTCCCCCCTCTAAGTCCCCCCCCCTCGCCTTTTCCCCCCCCTCCCCCCCCCTCTCCCCCCTCCCCCCCCCCCTCTCTCTCTCTCCCCTCTCCCCCCCAAGTCTCTCCCCCCCCCTTAACGTCTCTCTCCCCCCTCTAACGTCTCCTCTCCCCCCCTTCTCTCTCCCCCCTCTAACGTCTCTCTCCCCCCTCTAACGTCTCTCTCCCCCCTCTAACGTCTCTCTCCCTCCTCTCCCTTTCAACTAAGAACTTGTTTTGTAAATGTCCTTCCCAGGGGGTGGGAGTTGGGGGAAAGGAGACCCCAAGTTGTTCCCAGTCAGTAGTAATTGTGAATGGATGGGCAGTTTGTTCCAGACAAACAGGCTTGGTCTGGCTGTCTGGGTTAGGGCTTAATCCTGTGGTTAATAGGGTCTTTACTCAGCTCCTCTCTGCTAATGTGGCTTCCCTGGGACACCAAGGAGCAGGAGCTGTCATGTTGAACTAGCCCGGGAATCAGTTGAAGTCGGAAGTTTACATACGCTTAGGTTGGAGTCATTAAAACTCGTTTTTTCAACCACTCCACACATTTCTTGTTAACAAACTATAGTTTTTGGCAAGTCGGTTAGGACATCTACTTTGTGCATGACACAAATAACTTTTCCAACAATTGTTTACAGGCAGATTATTTCACTTATAATTAACTGTATCACAATTCCAGTGGGTCAGAAGTTTACATACACTAAGTTGACTGTGCCTTTAAACAGCTTGGAAAATTCCAGAAAATGATGTCATGGCTTTAGAAGGTTCTGATAGGCTAATTGACATCATTTGAGTCAATTGGAGGTGTACCTGTGGATGTATTTCAAGGCCTACCTTCAAACTCAGTGCCTCTTTGCTTGACATCATGGGAAAATCAAAAGAAATCAGCCGACCACAAGGCTGGTTCATCCTTGGGAGCAATTTCCAAATGCCTGAAGGTACCACGTTCATCTGTACAAACAATAGTACGCAAGTATAAACACCATGGGACAACGCAGCCGTCATTCCGCTCAGGAAGGTGACGCGTTGTGTCTCCTAGAGATGAACGTACTTTGGTGCAAAAAGTACAAGTCAATCCCAGAACAACAGCAAAGGACCTTGTGAAGATGCTGGAGGAAACAGGTACAAAAGTATCTATATCCTCAGTAAAACGAGTCCTATATCGACATAACCTGAAAGGCCGCTCAGCAAGGAAGAAGCCACTGCTCCAAAACCGCCATAAAAAAGCCAGACTATGGTTTGCAACTGCACATGGGGACAAAGATCATTCTTTTTGGAGAAATGTCCTCTGGTATGATGAAACAAAAATAGAACTGTTTGGCCATAATGACCATCGTTATGTTTGGAGGAAAAAGGGGGTGCCTTGCAAGCTGAAGAACACCATCCTAACCGTGAAGCACGGGGGTGGCAGCATCATGCTGTGGGGGTGCTTTGCTGCAGGAGGGACTGGTGCACTTCACAAAATAGATGGCGTCATGAGGAAGGAAAATTATGTGGATATATTGAAGGAACATCTCAAGACATCAGTCAGGAAGTTAAAGCTTGGTCGCAAATGGGTCTTCCAAATGGACAATGACCTCAAGCATACTTCCAAAGTTGTGCCAAAATGGCTTAAAGACAACAAAGTCAAGGTATTGGAGTGGTCATCACAAAGCCCTGACCTAAAGCCTATAGAAAATGTGTGGGCAGAACTGAAAAAGTGTGTGTGAGCAAGGAGGCCTACAAACCTGACTCAGTTACACCAGCTCTGTCAGGAGGAATTGGCCAAAATTCACCCAACTTATTGTGGGAAGCTTGTGGAAGGCTACCCGAAACGTTTGACCCAAGTTAAACAATTTAAAGGCAATGCTACCAAATACTAATTGAGTGTATGTAAACTTCTGACCCACTGGGAATGTGATGAAAGAAATAAAAGCTGAAATAAACCATTCTCTCTACTACTATTCCGACATTTCACATTCTTAAAATAAAGTGGTGATCCTGACTGACCTAAGACAGGGACATTTTACTGGGTTTAAATGTCAGGAATTGTGAAAACTGAGTTTAAATGTAGTTGGCTAAGGTGTATGTAAACTTCAGACTTCAACTGTACATATGTACACACACACACACACACATGTAGAAACACACACGTACACACACAAACAAAGATCGACCAGTGGGGGATTCGCTCCCTTCTTTACACCCATTTGTTTTGAGAGAGGAGGAGAGTAGCTTGGTCTGGGAATCAGTCGCCAATTTCTCCTACGTGTGTCCCTGCCTCCCTACCAACCTACCGAAAGTCTCACAGCGGGGTGTTTTCAAGACATGTAACTTTCAAAATACAGAAATGATCCCTGTATGATGCATTTGGCATTATATGATGCAAAACACAGCATCATATGAAGCAAAATGCATCACACAGGGATCATTTCTATATTTTGAAAGTTACATATCTTGAAAACTTGATTGCTGAAAAGCAAAACATTTTGGAACTATGTCAACAATGGACTAATGAAACAAATATCAAAAAATAGTTATTGGGTGGAGTTTTCCTTTAATGTTTTGTATACTCAGTGTAGACTAAAGAGCTGTGGGGTCTGACCAGGATCATCTGGTTACTATAGACTAAAGAGCTGTGGGCTCTGACCAGGATAATCTGGATACTATAGACTAAAGAGCTGTGGGGTCTGACCAGGATAATCTGGTTACTATAGACTAAAGAGCTGTGGGCTCTGACCAGGATAATCTGGTTACTATAGACTAAAGAGCTGTGGGCTCTGACCAGGATAATAAGGTTACTATAGACTAAAGAGCTGTGGGCTCTGACCAGGATAATAAGGTTACTATAGACTAAAGAGCTGTGGGGTCAGACCAGGATAATCTGGTTACTATAGACTAAAGAGCTGTGGGCTCTGACCAGGATAATAAGGTTACTATAGACTAAAGAGCTGGGGGCTCTGACCAGGATAATAAGGTTACTATAGACTAAAGAGCTGTGGGGTCAGACCAGGATAATCTGGTTACTATAGACTAAAGAGCTGTGGGCTCTGACCAGGATAATAAGGTTACTATAGACTAAAGAGCTGGGGGCTCTGACCAGGATAATAAGGTTACTATAGACTAAAGAGCTGTGGGGTCAGACCAGGATAATCTGGTTACTATAGACTAAAGAGCTGTGGGGTCTGACCAGGATAATCAGGTTCTATAGACTAAAGAGCTGTGGGCTCTGACCAGGATAATAAGGTTCTATAGACTAAAGAGCTGTGGGCTCTGACCAGGATAATAAGGTTACTATAGACTAAAGAGCTGTGGGCTCTGACCAGGATAATCTGGTTACTATAGACTAAAGAGCTGTGGGCTCTGACCAGGATAATAAGGTTACTATAGACTAAAGAGCTGTGGGCTCTGCCCAGGATAATAAGGTTACTATAGACTAAAGAGCTGTGGGGTCAGACCAGGATAATCTGGTTACTATAGACTAAAGAGCTGTGGGCTCTGACCAGGATAATAAGGTTACTATAGACTAAAGAGCTGGGGGCTCTGACCAGGATAATAAGGTTACTATAGACTAAAGAGCTGTGGGGTCAGACCAGGATAATCTGGTTACTATAGACTAAAGAGCTGTGGGCTCTGACCAGGATAATAAGGTTACTATAGACTAAAGAGCTGGCGGCTCTGACCAGGACAATAAGGTTACTATAGACTAAAGAGCTGTGGGGTCAGACCAGGATAATCTGGTTACTATAGACTAAAGAGCTGTGGGGTCTGACCAGGATAATCAGGTTCTATAGACTAAAGAGCTGTGGGCTCTGACCAGGATAATAAGGTTCTATAGACTAAAGAGCTGTGGGCTCTGACCAGGATAATAAGGTTCTATAGACTAAACAGTTGGGGAAAAAAGTATTTAGTCAGCCACCAATTGTGCAAGTTCTCCCACTTAAAAAGATGAGAGAGGCCTGTAATTTTCATCAACAGGTACACGTCAACTATGACAGACAAAATGAGGAAAAAAAATCCAGAAAATCACATTGTAGGATTTTTTATGAATTTATTTGCAAATTATGGTGGAAAATAAGTATTTGGTCAATAACAAAAGTTTCTCAATACTTTGTTATATACCCTTTGTTGGCAATGACACAGGTCAAATATTTTCTGTAAGTCTTCACAAGGTTTTCACACACTGTTGCTGTTATTTTGGCCCATTCCTCCATGCAGATCTCCTCTAGAGCAGTGATGTTTTGGGGCTGTCGCTGGGCAACACGGACTTTCAACTCCCTCCAAAGATTTTCTATGGGGTTGAGATCTGGAGACTGGCTAGGCCACTCCAGGACCTTGAAATGCTTCTTACGAAGCCACTCCTTCGTTGCCCGGGCGGTGTGTTTGGGATCATTGTCATGCTGAAAGACCCAGCTACGTTTCATCTTCAATGCCCTTGCTGATGGAAGGAGGTTTTCACTCAAAATCTCACGATACATGGCCCCATTCATTCTTTCCTTTACACGGATCAGTCGTCCTGGTCCCTTTGCAGAAAAACAGCCCCAAAGCATGATGTTTCCACCCCCATGCTTCACAGTAGGTATGGTGTTCTTTGGATGCAACTCAGCATTCTTTGTCCTCCAAACACGACGAGTTGAGTTTTTACCAAAAAGTTCTATTTTGGTTTCATCTGACCATATGACATTCTCCCAATCCTCTTCTGGATCATCCAAATGCACTCTAGCAAACTTCAGACGGGCCTGGACATGTACTGGCTTAAGCAGGGGGACACGTCTGGCACTGCAGGATTTGAGTCCCTGGCGGCGTAGTGTGTTACTGATGGTAGGCTTTGTTACTTTGGTCCCAGCTCTCTGCAGGTCATTCACTAGGTCCCCCCGTGTGGTTCTGGGATTTTTGCTCACCGTTCTTGTGATCATTTTGACCCCACGGGGTGAGATCTTGCGTGGAGCCCCAGATCGAGGGAGATTATCAGTGGTCTTGTATGTCTTCCATTTCCTAATAATTGCTCCCACAGTTGATTTCTTCAAACCAAGCTGCTTACCTATTGCAGATTCAGTCTTCCCAGCCTGGTGCAGGTCTACAATTTTGTTTCTGGTGTCCTTTGACATCTCTTTGTTCTTTGCCATAGTGGAGTTTGGAGTGTGACTGTTTGAGGTTGTGGACACTTGTCTTTTATACTGATAACAAGTTCAAACAGGTGCCATTAATACAGGTAACGAGTGGAGGACAGAGGAGCCTCTTAAAGAAGAAGTTACAGGTCTGTGAGAGCCAGACATCTTGCTTGTTTGTAGGTGACCAAATACTTATTTTCCACCATAATTAGCAAATAAATTCATTAAAAATCCTACAATGTGATTTTCTGGATTTTTTTCTCTCTCAATTTGTCTGTCATAGTTGACGTGTACCTATGATGAAAATTACAGGCCTCTCTCATCTTTTTAAGTGGGAGAACTTGCACAATTGGTGGCTGACTAAATACTTTTTTTCCCCACTGTAGACTAAAGAGCTGTGGGGTCAGACCAGGATAATCAGGTTAATATAGACTAATGAGCTGTGGGGTCTGACCAGGGTCATCTGGTTACTATAGACTAAAGAGCTGTGGGCTCTGACCAGGATAATCTGGTTACTATAGACTAAAGAGCTGTGTGGTCAGACCAGGATAATCAGGTTACTATAGACTAAAGAGTTGTGGGCTCTGACCAGGATAATCTGGTTACTATAGACTAAAGAGCTGTGGGCTCTGACCAGGATAATAAGGTTACTATAGACTAAAGAGCTGTGGGGTCAGACCAGGATAATCTGGTTACTATAGACTAAAGAGCTGTGGGCTCTGACCAGGATAATAAGGTTACTATAGACTAAAGAGCTGTGGGGTCAGACCAGGATAATCTGGTTACTATAGACTAAAGAGCTGTGGGGTCTGACCAGGATAATAAGGTTACTATAGACTAAAGAGCTGTGGGCTCTGACCAGGATAATAAGGTTACTATAGACTAAAGAACTGTGGGCTCAGACCAGGATAATACGGTTACTATAGACTAAAGAGCTGTGGGCTCTGACCAGGATAATAAGGTTACTATAGACTAAAGAGATGTGGGCTCTGACCAGGATAATAAGGTTACTATAGACTAAAGAGCTGTGGGCTCTGACCAGGATAATAAGGTTACTATAGACTAAAGAGCTGTGGGCTCTGACCAGGATAATAAGGTTACTATAGACTAAAGAGCTGTGGGCTCTGACCAGGATAATAAGGTTACTATAGACTAAAGAGCTGTGGGCTCTGACCAGGATAATAAGGTTACTATAGACTAAAGAGCTGTGGGGTCTGACCAGGATAATAAGGTTACTATAGACTAAAGAGCTGTGGGCTCTGACCAGGATAATAAGGTTACTATAGACTAAAGAGCTGTGGGCTCTGACCAGGATAATAAGGTTACTATAGACTAAAGAGCTGTGGGCTCTGACCAGGATAATAAGGTTACTATAGACTAAAGAGCTGTGGGGTCAGACCAGGATAATAAGGTTACTATAGACTAAAGAGCTGATGGGCTCTGACCAGGATAATCAGGTTACTATAGACTAAAGAGATGTGGTCTCTGACCAGGATAATAAGGTTACTATAGACTAAAGAGCTGTGGGTTCTGACCAGGATAATAAGGTTACTATAGACTAAAGAGCTGTGGGCTCTGACCAGGATAATCTGGTTACTATAGACTAAAGAGCTGTGGGCTCTGAACAGGGTAATCTGGTTACTATAGACTAAAGAGCTGTGGGCTCTGACCAGGATAATCTGGTTACTATAGACTAAAGAGCTGTGGGCTCTAACTAGGATAATACGGTTACTATAGACTAAAGAGCTGTGGGCTCTGACCAGGATAATCTGGTTACTATAGACTAAAGAGCTGTGGGCTCTGACCAGGATAATCTGGTTACTATAGACTAAAGAGCTGTGGGCTCTGACCAGGATAATCTGGTTACTATAGACTAAAGAGCTGTGGGCTCTGACCAGGATAATCTGGTTACTATAGACTAAAGAGCTGTGGGGTCTGACCAGGATAATCTGGTTACTATAGACTAAAGAGCTGTGGGCTCTGACCAGGATAATCAGGTTACTATAGACTAAAGAGCTGTGGGCTCTGACCAGGATAATCAGGTTACTATAGACTATAGAGCTGTGGGCTCTGACCAGGATAATCAGGTTACTGTAGACTAAAGAGCTGTGGGGTCTGACCAGGATAATCAGGAGCTGTGGGCTCTGACCAGGATAATCAGGAGCTGTGGGCTCTGACCAGGATAATAAAGAGCTGTGGGCTCTGACCAGGATAATAAGGTTACTATAGACTAAAGAGCTGTGGGCTCTGACCAGGATAATAAGGAGCTGTGGGCTCTGACCAGGATAATACGGTTACTATAGACTAAAGAGCTGTGGGCTCTGACCAGGATAATAAGGTTACTATAGACTAAAGAGCTGTGGGCTCTGACCAGGATAATAAGGAACTGTGGGCTCTGACCAGGATAATAAGGAGCTGTGGGCTCTGACCAGGATAATAAGGAGCTGTGGGCTCTGACCAGGATAATAAGGAACTGTGGGCTCTGACCAGGATAAGAAGGAGCTGTGGGCTCTGACCAGGATAATAAGGAGCTGTGGGCTCTGACCAGGATAATAGAGCTGTGGGCTCTGACCAGGATAATAGAGCTGTGGGCTCTGACCAGGATAATAGAGCTGTGGGCTCTGACCAGGATAATAAGGAGCTGTGGGCTCTGATCAGGATAATAAGGAGCTGTGGGCTCTGACCAGGATAATAGAGCTGTGGGCTCTGACCAGGATAATAGAGCTGTGGGCTCTGACCAGGATAATAGAGCTGTGGGCTCTAACCAGGATAATCAGGAGCTGTGGGCTCTGACCAGGATAATAGAGCTGTGGGCTCTGACCAGGATAATAGAGCTGTGGGCTCTGACCAGGATAATAGAGCTGTGGGCTCTGATCAGGATAATAAGGCTAACCTGACTTCCAAGCTATTACGTTGCATTTGGCTTTCAAATGTAACATGACAAAGAGTTGGTTGGAATAGGGCTCCCGATGGTGCGCAGCGGTCTAAGGCACTGCATCTCCCTGGTTCGAATCCAGGCTGTGATTGGGAGTCCCATAGGGCTCCCGATGGTGCGCAGCGGTCTAAGGCACTGCATCTCCCTGGTTCGAATCCAGGCTGTGATTGGGAGTCCCATAGGGCTCCCGATGGTGCGCAGCGGTCTAAGGCACTGCATCTCCCTGGTTCGAATCCAGGCTGTGATTGGGAGTCCCATAGGGCTCCCGATGGTGCGCAGCGGTCTAAGGCAATGCATCTCCCTGGTTCGAATCCAGGCTGTGATTGGGAGTCCCATAGGGCTCCCGATGGTGCGCAGCGGTCTAAGGCACTGCATCTCCCTGCAGACCCTGGTTCGAATCCAGGCTGTGTCACAATCTGGCTGTGATTGGGAGTCCCATAGGGCTCCCGATGGTGCGCAGCGGTCTAAGGCACTGCATCTCCCTGGTTCGAATCCAGGCTGTGATTGGGAGTCCCATAGGGCTCCCGATGGTGCGCAGCGGTCTAAGGCACTGCATCTCACTGCAGACCCTGGTTCGAATCCAGGCTGTGTCACAATCTGGCTGTGATTGGGAGTCCCATAGGGCGGCGCACAATTGGCCCAGCGTCGTCCGGGTTTGGCCGGCGTAGGCCGTCATTGTAAATAAGAATTTGTTCTTAACTGACTTGCCCAGTTAAATAAAAAATAAATATAACCGCTTTGGTTCAATATGTGGAAATTATAAATACCTACTGGATTAATTCAATCATTATGGAGTGTATGTTACTTGGGAGTGTCTGACTCTATTGAATGGGAGCTCCATTCAGTCTTTACTCGTACCTGTACCTCATTGTGTCAGCGGGTGGACCTACCAAATGGCTATATATCTACAGTCCTGGTCAAAAGTAGTGCACTATACAGGGAATGGGGTGCGATTTGGGACAGGGCCGTCTCTGAAAGCCCTAACTCTTTAACAGGAAGTGGAAGGGTTTCCTGTTAGAAAGAACACAGCATATTATCACTCTTTTTTTTGCTTTCATGTTTTTTCTTTTCTTTTTTGGTACATTGCTTTGTGGCCTGATTGATTTATGTTACATTAATCATGTCACATGTAAAGGCAGGTTGTTGAAATGATCTTGTATGAACACTTGCGTTGTGTGAAATACCTAAAAGATTGGTGTTTATCTGTTAAGTCTAAAGGCAGTTACAGTAATAGTAAAAATAGAGTTTGATATAACGTACATGAACATGCAATCTAATCATAGCTTATGAATGTGTTAGTGAGAAAACACAGCACTCTGTACTGATGACAGTCAACTTTTTACCAGGTCAGTTGACTCATTTACAGCCATGACCTGGGGAATAGTTACAGGGGAGATGAACGAGCCAACTGGAAGCTGGGGATGATTAGGTGGCAAGATTGGTAATTTAACCAGGACACCAGGGGTTAATACCCCTACTCTTACGATAAGTGCCGTGGGATCTTTAGTGACCACAGAGAGTCAGGACACCCGTTTAACGTCCCATCCGAAAGGCAGCACCCTACACAGGGCAATGTCCCCAATCACTGCCCTGGGGATCTTTTTTTCAGACCAGAGGAAAGAGTACCTACTACTGGCCCTCCAACACCACTTACTAGCAGCACCTGGTCTCCCATCCAGGGACCGACCAGGACCAACCCTGCTTAGCTCCAGAGACAAGCCAGCAGTGGGATGCAGGGTGATGTGCTGCTGGCCTACAGGGTATACTGTACGAACGGGGTTTTGAGAAAAGGTATTGTAGTACTCATAGTCTACCACTAGGGTTCTAACCCCTCTCTTCAGCCACCTGGGTGAATGCAGGCGTTCCTTCCCTTTCTGCTGGACCAAAACCTACACAGCCTCCCTCCACTGGCAGCAGATCAGTGGAATTACAGTCTGTGGACTCTCAGGCCTGCAACTTGCAAACTGAACACACACTTGCAGAATACCCCACAGACCAGTGAGAAAGATACCTGACCAGTGAGAAATATACCTGACTCCTGACTCCATCTATTCAGTAGTAGGTCAAGTACACACTCAGAGCTTCTCTGTTGACAGATAGTTACTGTATTAAACAACGGAAGGTTGTGTATAATACAGTACCTATGTTTTTTGATGTCACGACTGCGTTGTTGATGTCTCGACTTTATGAAATGCCTGTAAGTCATATACAGTAACAGTGAGGTAGAAGGCACAAGTGAAGATGAGGTTTTTATTACTTGTTGTTCCAATGAGTAGGCCTAGTGTGCCCTGCCTCTCTGAAGTCATGGCATCACACCAAGAACACTAAAGCTGTTTTTATCCATCCCAGGCCACTAAAGCTGGTGGAAAAGCCGTATGTAATTATCCTGTCGTGTTTTTTTTTATATTTCCCTAAAGGTACATCCCAATTATACCCTTTATGGAACAGCTGGAGTCACCTACTGACTGAGATTCCTGCACGGCCTCACGGGCCTAAAAAGGTGTTGAGAAATATGTTTGTAGAATTATTTATTTAATTTCAGAACAAGGTATGAGAAAAATAGGAACCTTGTTTTCCAGAAACTTGTTATTGCCGAACGTGACACTAAAGAAAAGTAACAACATAGATGAAGGAGCTGCTACTATACATTCGTTTTTCATTCAGTTGGATCTGAAATTAGTTGTATTATTGGGGTGTAGGCCTTATATGGGGAAAATAACAACCAGGAGGTTTTACCATCACACTCTATGACTAGGGCTGTGTGAGAGAGGGAGAGAGGGAGAGAGAGGGGGAGAGAGGGAGAGATAGAGGGTAGAGGGAGGGAGATATGGATAGAGGAGAGAGGGAGAGAGGTGGAGGATATTGTGTGAGAGGGGGGGAAGGGGGGTTTGGTTTCATTTTAAGGGGTTTTGGCGGGGGTTTTGGGTGTTTTAAAATTTGAAATTGGTTTTTTCTTTTTTTTTTTCTTTTTTTCGCTTTTCTCTCCCCCCACCTCCTCGGTCCCCCCCCTTTTCCTTTCTCCCCTTTCTTCCCTTTTTTCCCCCGCCTCTTTTCCCCTCCCCTTTTTTTCCCAATTAACCCTTTCCTGGGGCCTTGTTTCCTTTTCATGGGTGGGCTTTGTAAAAAATTTTTTTTGGGGTGTGGCCTTTTTTTCCTGTTTTATTGCTGGGTTTTAAACTTCCCTTTTTTTCCCCCCTTCTTCTTTGGCCCCTTTTTTTTTTACCTTTTTGGGGCCCCGGGGTTTTCCCCTGCGGGTTTTGGGGGCCCGGGGGGGGGGGTTTTGGGGATGGTGGGGATTGGGGGGGGGGGGGGGGGGGGGTGGCCCCCTTCAAAAAGGGTTTGTCGTTGGGTTTTTTTTGGTGAAAGTCCCCTCCCCTTTTCCCTTTTTCCTTTTTTCCCCCTTTTCCCCCGGC